GCTAAAGCTATATAGTTGGCCCATTGACTAGTGAATGTAGGTAAATACCTTAGGGATGGATATTAGAACACAAATGGCAACAAGAGATAAGAATCAAGAATGTAACTCCAGCAAGGCTGGGCCTGAAATGGAGCCTTTTGCGTAAAACCATGGCTTTGCAATGATTTCATTTTCTCCTAACACGGACAGTAAGACTCAACGTGCCAGCCAGCCCAGGGACATGACAGGGAAGCTGAAAGAAATAAGAAACAAGCCTATATCACATCAAATGTGGAGTCTAAATTTAAACTACACAAGTCTTGCAAAAAACATTTAAGCTTAGAAATTAGCATAAAAACGGGTCCAAAACAAGTGAAATGCTTATACCCCTGACAGTTATGAATGCTGAACTTCCTATAGAGTCCCTTCCACAGGGCAGTGCCCCTGGGACTCAGCCAGGCCAAACAGTACATGTTAGGCATGCAGATTAGCATCCCAAAAAGTTAAACAAAAGAATCTGAAAGAAACTTGGAAATAAACTTGTTAAAAGTACTTAGAGATATAATAAGTAAAGACATAATTTAGAAAACAAAGATACAATAGCTAGAAAGTAAGGAATACCTTATGGAAAATAAGAGATATCTGAGAATAAAACTAAATAGAGTATTTCTAGGCACCTAGACATGAAAAATATTGTCATTAAAACACTGTAGACATATATTAGACTCAGAAAAAAAAATATATATATATATAGTTAGAAAGACATCTGAGAAAATCACCTAGAATATAGTCCAGAGAGATAAATGATAGAACTTTGAAGGGAAGGTTGATGTGAAAGACCTAGCAAGAAGGTACAATGTGCTGCTGACAGGAGTTCAAAAAGAAAGAATAAAAGGGATGGGATGGGGGTGATACTTGAAGAAACAACGTGTAAGGACATTTCAGAACCGAACAAATACCTGTGCCTTCAAATCAAATAGGGATATTAGGTCCTGAGCAGGAGAAAAAGATTATTCTGCACTCAGGTACTTCAGAATGAAACTGCAGACATCAAATAAACAGGGAATTTAGGGTAAGCTACCGAAGAGAAAAATGCAGGTTACCTGCAAAAGAATGACAACTAGACCAACAAGAACTTTCCCATAAGCAGCTATGAAGGCCCACTGTATTGGAACACTCTCTTCAAAGTACTGAAGGCAATTATCTATCAAGCTGCAAATCGATAACTTTGTAAAGAATGAAGGTAAAAAGATTTTCAGACAAATCAAGACTGAAAGACTTGAGCTTTCAGTGACTGACCACTGTTGAAAGAATTATGTAAACATATTCTTTAATATGTAAGACATCGAACCCAGAAGTATGGAGTAAAATACAAGAAACAATGGGGACTGAAGAAACACATGGATACTGTGACAGATGAGATGTATGGGTATGAAGAGAGAAGGGCTGATTTCAGGGAAGATGTGAAAACAGATATTTAAATTCTAAAGAGCTCTAACAAGGAGAACTAGAAGCAGCAGACCAAAGACATTCTATTTTTTTGTTTGCTTGTTTCTCATGGAAAAGCTTTTGATTAACTTTTGACTTTTAAATATGCAAATTTACAACTTGATAATTATTTAAAGAGTAAAAATGTAATCCAGAACTGGAGCAAAGAAGGGGATTTTTTAAAAGCTGAATTAAGCCAGTAAAAGGAAGGAAACTGGAAAGAAAAAAGAAAGAAAGAAAAGAAGAAAGTTAAAATGGTAGACAAATTCATTACCCTCAGTAATCATGATCAAGGAAAACAGATTAAACAGTTTTTAAAATACACAGACTCCTATTTTTTAAATCCAATTTTTTGCTGCTTATAAGAGACATGTGAAATATAATTATTTGGGAAATTTGAAAATAAAGGATTTTTTTTTTAAAAAGGCATACCAGGCAAATTCTAAGGAAAGAGCGAAGAAAGTAAGACAGGAAGGAAGAAAGGAAGAAAAAATGAATATCAGACAAAATTTTGAAGGCAAAAAAATACTAGGATTAAAGATGGTGTTAACTTAGTGATGGAAGGCTTACAGTAAATTGGTTGTAAAGATATGAAGAGACAAATCACCAAAGAAGAAACCCAAATGGTCCTAAAACATTTGACAAATGTTCAGCCTACTGGTATGAATGGAAATGCAAATAAAAGCACCAGTGGAGCTATCCTTTCAACCCCCATCAGCTGGCAACAAATTTTAAATTGGATAATGACAAGTACTGGTAGGGGTGTGGAATAAAAGGAAATTCTTATTTCTTACTGGTTGGAATGAAAGCAGCAGATGTGCACTGATCGGTGACTCAGCAATTCTGCTCTCATTCTGTATCCTAGATTAATGCACTAGGATGTTCCTTGGGCATCATTCGTAATAACGATAAGAGAAAACAATCCAAGTGGCCATCGGTAGTGGGATGGATAAGTAGGTGGTGATATATTCAAACAAATGAAACTTGCATCAGTGAAAATGAATTAATTTACAGTTACTTGTATTAAAATGGTTACATCTCAGAATTACAACATTGAATAAAAGTAAACATTGAATAAAAGTAAATTGCAGGAGGATGTGCATATCTTATTTTAAATTTAGGTAAAGCAGGTACTATATGCTGTTTTTATAGATACATAGATGTGGTAGTAAAATACATACACCTGAGAGGAAATGGTAGTTTCCCCAAAGTGGGCGGTTCCCTTCTTGAATGAAGATGGATGGGAACCTGGAGGGAGAGCAGAGCGTATCTCTGCCATGTTTAATTTTTGAAGATCTGAAATAAATATAACAAAAATACTAGCATTTATTTACATTTCAGATGCAGACACTCCTGTTATTCTGTGTGTATATGTGTTTAAAACATTTACATAATTAAAAGTATCTTCTCAGTTATGGAAGACAAAAGACATACAATAATAATGCAGAGAAAATGTTCCATGTTCCGTTATGGGCTTTATACAGGTGGCTTTCAGAGCTGAGATGAAAGGGATTTCTGACAATGAGGGGAACCCGAAAATGCATCCTGAGAGAGGCCCAGTATTGCTGTCCTACAGACTCCCACCTGCTATCAGTCACCCTTGGAAATATATCAACCATCATGACCTCTTTTTCTGTTTCTTTGGCCTTTATCAAGTCCAAAGTCCATTTCACTTACTAAATTCTGGCCATCATAAAGCAGTAGTTACCCAGGACCTCCCAAAAGATTTATTACTTTGAGAAAGAAAATCTTAAAAACTGACTGATGTTTTGCTTACTTCTCATGGAAAGAGACGATGACTTCTGTTATATAATGTAGTTTTTATGGAAACATTTGGGGGCACCTGGGTGGCTCAATCGGTTGAGCGTCTGAATCTTGGTTTTGGCACAGGTCATGATCTCATGGTTTGTGGGATCGAGCCCTGGGTTGGGCTTTGTGCTCAGTGGGGGGGTCTGCTGGAAGATTCTCTCCCTCTGCCCCCTACCCCCCACTAATATGCATGCTCGTTTGCACTCTCTCTCTCTCTCTCTCTCTCTCTCAAATAAATAAATCTTTAAAAACAAGAAAAAGAAACCAAATTTGGATTTGGTGGGAGGAAAGGATTAGTTGATTGTCCAAGTGGAAACATGCTTATATTGCCCCAAACTCCTGACAGTGGAAATGTTGGGGTTCAAATCTGAGAGCCAAGAAGGAATCCTTGAGACATCTTCAGTACAAAAAGGTGGTTTTATTAAAGCATAGGGACAGGATCTGTGGGCAGAAAGAGTTGCACCGTGGTCATGAGGAGTGGCCCGTTATATACTTTCAAGTTGGGAGGGGGTTAGGGATAGCATAAGTCTCTAAGGAATTTTGGAGGGGAGGTTTCCAGAACCTTGAGGGGGCTAGCTATTGTTGGGAAAATGTCATTTATTACCGTCTAATAAAACCTTCATTGTGAGATCCTTCAGATGTATATCAGTGGGCCATGTGCTTGGGGGATGATTGCCAACATGTATCTTGGGGTGGGTAAGGATAAAGGAAGTTTCCAAAGGAATTTTTATATATTAAGGTAGACTTACAGGATCCTGGGGCTTCAGGATAATGTTAAGCTAAGATTGCCTTTTGCCCTTAACAAAGTATTAACATCGAGGCAGTTGACTCCCTAGAGGAATGTCACTTTGCCTGTTTCAAGGACTTGTCAGTGGGCTATAGGTAATAAGGAAATTTAATTTTTTCTTTTGCCTTTGTTTCCCACACTGCTTTTTCCCTTTATCAGAAATATTCTATTCAAGGTTCTCCAATTGCAAAATTTTGTTCAATTTCCTTTTTAAATGTGCTGCTGCAAATAGTTACTCATGTTTTATGACCTCTCTAAGGGGGGTCCCTATGGAAATAAAAGTGGCATCACTATCCTGTGTTCACAGCATCTAGTACAGTTTGTCAAAATACTAAGGGCTTGGGGACACCTGGGATGGCTCAGTGGTTGAGTGTCTGCCTTTGGCTCTGGGCGTGATCCCGGGGTTCCAGGATTGAGTCCCACATTAGGCTTCCCACAAGGAGCCTGCTTCTCCCTCTGCCTGTGTCTCTGCCTCTCTCTCTCTGTTTCTCATGAATGAGTAAATAAAATCTTAGGAAAAAAAAGAATAGTAAAGGCTTAGTATCTCTAGCGGAAAAGGAACAGAAGTTTGCGGGCTTCCCCCCACATCATGGCAGCCTCTCTGCTCTGTGAATGATCTCACTATATAACACAACAAGATCAGACATCATTACTCTTGACATAAAATGAAATAATGGCACCCTTTGAAAAAGTTTGGTTTCTGTGCTTCTGACACAGTGTTGCAGGATACTAGGAAATAGCATGGCAGTGTTGGTCTAGAAGCAATTTACCAGTCAGTGTAAAAGGCATTTAACTTGTCTTTGGATACCTATTTGCTCCATGTTGAAGCAAAAGGGAAACTCTGACTCAGATCCCTTATTAAGGTGCCTTGGGCCACCAGTCTGGATTTGATAATGAGCCCTGTATTCTCAGATTTTTTTTTTAATTTCCTTTGCAGAGAGAAGATGCATCAGTCTGCCATGTATGAACTATGCCAGGGGATGCACCAAATCAGCCTTCAGTTCGTTCGACTGCAGCTCACCTTTGAAGAGTACACTATAATGAAAGTTCTGCTGCTACTAAGCACAAGTAAGATGATGTCCACTTGGGCACTTTTTATTGTCAGATAATCTTACCTCTTAGGAGATTAGCCTATTTACAGTGTTGGGTTGTTGGTATAAAAAAAAAATTGAGGAGATAGGATGCTTAGGTGGCTCAGGGTATGATCCTAGTAGCTCACTAGTTTCAATTCTGGGATCGAGTCTCACATTGGGCTTCCTGCAGGGAGCCTGCTTCTCCCTCTGCCTATGTCTCTGCCTCTCTCTCTATGTCTCTCATGAGTAAATAAATAAAATCTTTTAAAAAAAAATTCAGGAGATGGGAGAGAGGCTTTGGTCTTTGGTGAACTAAGTTACTTGGAGAACATGAGGCTTTGGGCAAAGAAAGAGCATATTCCTTTATTTCTTCATCCATCTGACCACTAAATATTTGTTAAGTATCTTATACACAAGATAGGATTAGGCAATTCATCTACTACAAGGGTGAATGAAGTGCAGGTTCTGCCCTCATGGAGTTTCACTATAAGATAAATTCAAAGATACTTTTAATATGTTGTTGAAAGGGATTATCCAATCATGATAGAAGATAAAGAGTGTCCTGGTGGCTCAAAAAAGGGAAGAGCATGTTTGGTTCTGGGAGTCAGGAAGGGATTCACAGTGAAGCTGAATCTTGGGGAGCTTTGCAAGGGTTATAGATGGGATATGAGGTCTGAGATGGCATTCCTGTCAAGGGACACGATGTGAGGGAGTGCGGGAAAGCATATCCAGACATTAGAATTTGTTTCTGGGAGAAGTGTTTTGCCCTTTAATTTTTTTTTCTTATGTATGTATTCATTTAATTTTTCAAGGTGCACAAGGTGATGTTGGGTTGGAGAGGAGTGGGGAATAAGGTTGGGATGGAGGTTGGGTGGGCCAGGATATTCAATGTCTGTTAAGACACTTGACCTTCACTGGGTGGGCAGAGGATTGCAGCACGGCAGGCTTTGAGTAGTGGGGTGACATGACCGAAGCTGTGTTTTGTGCCTCTATGAAAATGTACCTGGTAGTAGACTGGATTAAATGGGAAAGAGAGGGAGAGGCAGAGAGGCAAAGATGGAGAAATTAGCTGGATTAGAAGCCCAGAGAACTGCTATGAGGCTTTTGAAAAAATGGCCATAATGATGGTGGTCAGTGGTATGATGGACAGGAACAAATGCATTCAAGGAACATGGCAAGACTGGCAACTGATGAGAAAAGGAAATAAACGGGTTGGGGTCAGAGGTAATAGGTTTTTGAGCACAGAGAAATGACTAGGATGGCAGTGTTACCATTAAAAGGAATATGTTAATGTTGCAACTTGGAGAAGATTTGGTGGGAGTTTTCCAAATTAGTTCCATTTTAGATGGGTTAATTTTCAGATGCATCCTGATAGGCCAGAAGATGGGGAGAATTTGGGACTGGCACTCAGAAGACAGATCTGAGTATTGAGAAATAATCATGAAATTATGCCTATGGCAAACTGTCATCAAAACTAAAATGGTGAGTGGGGTTGCCAGGGCACAGAAAGACAAGGAACGGTCCAGTCGAGTACATGAGTGGAGGATGGCAGGGCTGAAGAGGCAGAGATGGGACTCCAGAGAGGCAGGGAAACTGGGAGCCAAGGGCTGTTTTCCAAAAGGGGCGTGACCAACAGCAGAGCTTCCCGAGGAAAAGTTGAGAGCGCAGAAAGAAGCCTACTAGAGTTGACCATTAGACACCAGGCAGGTGCCAGATGGCCAGGGGCTTGCAGATTGATGGGAAGCCTTTTTAGGCTTCTGGAACCAAGTGTGAGAGTAGAGCAGTTGATGACTTAAGGTGCCAGAGAGACAAGACAGGACAGGACTAGCCTTAGCAAGGATGTTGAGCGCTTCTTCCTCGGGCAATGGCACAGACATTTTCAAACCAAGGGGAGGGAATTTGGGGAAGTTCACATCAGTCGAGACAAAGACAAGAATGATGGTAGGAGGCGGTATGGAGAAGAACTCTCCAAGCCAAGCCCTGTGGCCAGTGAGGAAACAGAGAAACATTCTGGGTGCCAAGGATGCCGGGGCGAGAGCTTGGACTTCAGAGGAGGGGAGGTGGTTGAGTGACCATCTGGAAGCAGGAAAGAGAATCCAGTGCATGCCCAGCCCTCCCCTTGGCTCACGAGTCAGGGGCAGTTCTCAGTAGAGTCATTTGGGGACAGCGGCATCACTGGCCAAGTGTCACTGGACTGAAGGGGTCGGAAGGCGTGTTATTTCCCGCAAAGGGGGACTGGGCCTGAGGAGGAGTTACCCTGAATCAAGGAGTGACAGGAGCGGGGAGAGGAGCCGCCTTGGCGTGTGGAGGGCATCTGCCTCCCTGTGCTTAGCGCCTCCGTTTTCGCGGTGTGTGCCACACATCCTCCGCATGCAGGCCTCAGACAACCCTGTGACGCTGGTAAGCCGTCCTAAGCTAACAAAAAGGAGGCACACAGGCGTTTTTGTTCAGTGTCCTGTGTGAGTTCGAACTCGGACCCTGCCCGCCAGCGTGGTCCCGGCTCCCCCCGCAGGAGGCCAGCAGGGGGCAGCCGGCAGCCTGGGCCAGGTGCGGCCCACTCGCAGCTGTGTTTTGTTTGGCCAGCACAGGTATCTTAGGTTGCTTTTGGCCTTTTGTCTTGTTTTATTTTCATTGAATTCAACTGCCCAAGGCAGGGCATGTTCTCTCCAGTTTGCCACAGGCCCTGCCATTCCTCACTAATTACACTCAGCCGAGGTCCGGTAGGGTTGTGTTTGCAGCCCCTCATCTACAGGCCCGGGAGCCAGGCTCTTTCTCCCTACTCAGCTCTTCCTCAGGGTCTCTGATGCTCCTGGTTTATCCTTTGTGGAATATAACCTTGGAAATAGAATCTTTAAATTCGGTGACAGTGATTTTATTCCCCTGTCCAAGCTATGTCATTACCCATCACTGCCTTGAAAAGTGTGTAAAGTATAGATCTAGATGTAGATAGATCCGATGGGTGATAGAATTGAAATGAAAAATGCACGTGATACTGATTCTCTATAAATTTTGACTACTCAATCTTAATTGGTGTCTTATCCTTTTACGCCATTTAATCAGCCTGTAATCAATCCTGATACCATTTTGAAGCTACCCGATGTAATTTATTAGCTTCCAAATAGCTCGGTATTTTCAATTCTGATTTTTGTAAATGCAGGAAAAGCAAAATAAAAAGGCAGGAAAACATAAGAATTGTATGAGTTATAGAGCTGCAGGCTTTAGTAAGCTTATTTTGCTAATCTATGAGAGAATGTGTTAAAATTTTTCTTTAGGATGTTAAATGGCACATCTGATTCCAGTGTATCAAGAAAGTTTTTAGCAATGACACTGAGAGAATCTCATGTTCTTAATGCTTATGGAGGAAAACAGACAAACCTCTACCCTAGTTGTCTCTTTGCTCTTCTCCAGCCGATAGATTTTGGATAGTTTCCAGCAGCCCTGCTGCATTTAATAAGTAAATTCAGAAAATCTGGGCAAACCTCCAGAATTTGAGGTTTTGCTTAAATTCTCTTTATTTGTGGGTTTGTTTCAACTTCTAAAAAATCTGGCTTGGAAATTGGTATAATATATTTTCAGTTACAGCAATAATATACAAGTAATATTTGACACAAATCGTTTGTAATCTTGAGAATTTCTGATACAGAACTATCCATATGAAGATCTTTGATTATTCTTAGTAGATATATCAAATAGTAGTGAACTATAGTATTGAAATTTATTCACCCCAGTCTAATTTTAAGTAATTTTTTAATGTATAGGATATCCCTAAATATCCATATTGAAAAGCAAAAGATGTACTCCATGATATTTTATAACTTAACAGAAATAAATATTAACCTGTGTATAGACACTATTTGCAAAGTATTTGCAAACTTGCAGTTTCTTTCAGAAAGTTTTAAGTTAACATTAAAATCTTGGTAGAAGGTAGAGCTATAGTTTTACTATTAACATCCTGGTTATTACCATCCTTCATATTTTTTATACTTTAAAAACATGACTTTATTTTTAAAGAAAACAAACTATTTGTTATATAATGGATGGCATTTAACTTTTAATGTGAATGTCAAATATTTGAAACCACAGCTAATATTGTGGCAGCCTCAGGAATGCATGCAGTTGCTATTAGGGGTTTATTTTTTCCCCACAAAAATAGACTTAGATAAACCACAAATCAAAAGCCTCAACAATTAAATTCAAGGAGATTATTATCATAATATGTGAATTTAATTTGTAATATAGTCCTTAGATAATCCATATTTTTATACAGGACAACAGGGTTTAATTTGGAAACAGTGGTATTCTCAGCTTCCAGGATTCTCATAATAGTAAAAAATGTACTTAGCCATTCTAAAAGGCTGACAACCCAAGTAAATTATTATCTATTCCACCTATGACAAATTAGCAACATGCTGTATAATTAAGAAGTGAAAGTAAAAGCAGTTTCAAACTCTGAACATTAATTTCACAAGATGAATTTTCTTGAGGTCTTCATCTCCTAAAAATAAAGTTCTTAAGTGATTTTATTTTTCAAAGTTAAAGCATGCACATAACTACCACATAACTATTTATTAGCTCTAGTAGATAAAAGCAAACATGTGGGTAGATTTTCTGAGGGGATACCTTAGTTTACACTCTGCCCTATACTTTTTTCCAGAACGATTCCCAGCACAGGAGCACCTTCTGTCCATAACTGCTTTCACATGTATCCTGGGAAAAAGCATCTCCTTTCAGCAGGTCACAGAAACACTTGATATGCTTCCAAGCTCTAAATTCCAAAATACTGTTTCTAAGTGAGACTTTTTCTTATTTAAAATTAAAAGCCAACCACTACATAAAAGAAAACATGATCCTTGATTTTTTACTTTCTCAAAGAAAAGGGGGAACATGGTTTATTCTCTTTGAAAGTTATAGATTTTGTCTTACATGCACAGCCACTGTGATGTTACTCCTTTGCACACACAAACCAGTGTGCACACCCACCCCTTGGTCTCCTGGGAGGCCACATGACAGCAACCCCACTGATCATGTGATCCAGGCCCAAAGAAAATGCAAAGTGCTTCTCAGCATGCCTGTCCTTCCCCCCTGGTAGATGGCCAGTCTCCCCAAGTGTCTTTGATATCTGACTTTGAATATAGAGATGCCGCTTGCTAATTCTAGCCCCAGCTTAGATCATCTGTGGCTCTTCTAGTTGTCCTGGAAAATCAAAGTATATTTTCTTACCTCTGAAGTATTGGCAAGTTAGGACCATAAAACACTTCAATGACAGGCCACAAGGCATTGTAGCATTGTGACTGAGAGACAGGCTTTGGAAATAGACCTAGGTTTCTACCCCCTTCTCTGCCACACATTTATTGTGTCTTTGGGCAGGATTAAACCTCCAGTCTTCACTTTTGTCATCTGTAAAATGAGGATACCATAACGATCATGTCATAAAACTGAGGTAAAGATCAAGTTACTGTATGCAAGGTGTATATTAATATACACCCAATAAATAGCAGTTATTGTTCTTTTGTATATGGATGGGAACAAGAATTTACCAATAGATAACTGCCATATTTGTTCACAAATGTAACTAATTGAGATTCGGTATCAATCTAAAAGTATGAGCCTAAAAACCTCAAAATATTCTACACCATTTAACTGCTGCAATGCTGCTGTTTTCCATTCTGGGGACTTACATGTCTGTATTCCTTAAACACAGTTCCAAAGGACGGCCTCAAAAGCCAGGCTGCATTTGAAGAAATGAGGACAAATTACATCAAAGAACTGAGGAAGATGGTAACTAAGTGTCCCAGCAACTCTGGGCAGAGCTGGCAAAGGTTCTACCAACTGACCAAGCTTCTGGACTCCATGCATGATGTAAGTAGAGCCTTCATGCCTGTTAAATGAAGGATCAACCGTCACACCGTATTGACCCAACAAAACTGGAGAGGTGAGAGAGAGTTCTAAGGGATTCAAGAAAAATAGGGACAGATTATCCAGTAGGAGGCAGCAAGACTTGAGAATTGATTAGGAAGGAGATTTTCTTCAGATCACCTCATGTGGAGTAAAGGGTGTGACTCTCTTCCATTCTGAGCGGGATAGAGGTGCCGGGTACCATAATGGCTAAACCCCAGTGTCCTGGGCCAGGGAAGGCCCTCATATTTGCTACAGGTGTCAGATCAAGTTTCACATTTCTGCTTACAATTTAGGAGATGTTTGGTTACTAAAAATGTTTGCTTTAACATTGCATAAATAGTGTTCATCTTCTACAACTGTTAATCTAATAACACAATCTTTCCAAAATATTATTAGTGGTCCAGGGCCAACTTGGATCATCTCAGTCTTTGCCAAATTTTGAATCCTATATTCATTCTTCACAGGAGACACCTTTCTTGCCTTCTGTAAATATAGAAAGTAAATTTTGAGCTTGTTTCTAAATTAATCAATTTTAGATGTAGTCTAGGTGTTTGTTAGCAGTTTCTACAAAATATTGATTTGGTTAATTTGCTTTGTTATGTCATTTGAAATATGCTTCTTTTTTCACTTTGCAAGCAGTTTTCTGTAGTTCTGGCTCAAAAAAAAAAAGTTGTACGCAATCATGCTGCTTTAGTTTCTTATGTTTGTGAGGTTTTCATACTTTCTTTTGGAAAATTTATTGTCATATAATTTGGGTTTTTTTGTTTTTTTTTATTTAAAAAAAATTTTAATTGAAGTTCAGTTTGCCAACATATAGCATAATACCCAGTGCTCATCCCACCAAGTGCCCCCCTCTTTGCCCATTACCCAGTCACCCCAACCCCCTGCCCACTTCCCCTTCCACTACCCCTTGTTCATTTCCCAGAGTTAGGTGTCATGTTTTGTCACCCTCACTGATATTTTCACTCCTTTCCCTTTATTCCCTTTCACTAATTTTTATATTCCCCAAATGAATGAGACCATATAATGTTTGTCCTTTCCAATTGACTTATTTCACTCAGCATAATACCCTCCAGGTCCCTCCACATCAAAGCAAATAGTGAGTATTTGTCATTTCTAATGGCTGAGGAATATTCCATTGTGTACATAGACCATATCTTCTTTATCCATTCATCTTTCGATGGACACTGAGGCTTCTTCCACAGTTTGGCTATTGTGGACATTGCTGCTATAAACATTGGGGTGCAGGTGTCCTGGCATTTCACTGCATCTGTATCTTTGGGGTAAATCCCCAGCAGTACAATTGCTGGGTCATAGGGCAGATCTATTTTTAACTCTTTGAGGAACCTCCACAGTTTTCCAGAGTGGCTGTACCAGTTTCAGCCCATATGATTTGTATAAGAAACTCTTTTTCAAATACTTCCCTCCTTTTCAGAAAAATGTTGCCAGGCTCCATGACTAGTATTATAATAGTACTCCTATTGAAATCATGAGTCATCCTTTAAAATTTTGTTTATGCCAGTGAAATGATATGATGTCTCTGTGATCTGATTGATAAAGAACGTCACTTTCCAGTGTCTTACACTGAGGACTCTGAACATACTACATTGATTTTGCTTTCTCTCAACTTTTCATACATTGTTAAGTCACATTCCCACAAGGTGAATTCATTGATAATTTTGCTAATTATTAGTGGCCTAAAGAGTATGACTTAATGGAAAATCTTAGGACTAAGAGATGATGGCAAATGCAGCTTTAGAGAGACCGCAACTCTGTTTTGCACAACTCACAGAGAACAAAAGAAACTAGAGCCTGGAGCATAGGCCACCTATAGAGGAACAGGTAGTAGATGTACTTTCTTCTGTCGGCTTTGTTGAAAACCCTTTATCGTGGACTCAGACCAGACTCTTGGTTTCTTTCTTGATGGGTTTTCTTATTGGTTCAAAGATCTGGACAGGCTTAAGTGCAATGTCAGAATTAGTATGTGATTGTCATCACTGCAACATGTGATAATAGATGATAACACTTTGAGGCATTTTGTGTGTAATGAGACTGGCAGCAGAAGTGAAGACTTGTTTTTCCACAGCCTCTCAGAATCTTGGTGCCTTAAGCTGGGAGGTACTGTGGAAACACTCGGAGTCCACGCCAGTGGTCGATGTCTCTGTCCATAGCCAACATGTTTTTTAGTGCCATACTTGGCACAAGATTGGGACTCACTGAGTCATTGACCCATATGGCTAGATCATAGGTGGTGATGTTCTGCAAAACTCCCCCAGGCAAATCAGTCTTTTTAGTATTTTTTGTAATCCAGGTATAATTGACACACAGTAAATTGAACATTCCTTAAGCGTGCCTTTGGGAAGTTTGACACACATATATACCTGTGAAACTATCATCACCATTGAGATGACAGACATATTTATGACCCAAAATGTTTCCTTGTCCCCCTTTTTTAACCTTTCCTGCTACCTCCTGCTCCCCAGTTGCTTTCCAGCAATAGAGTTTTGTTAATATATCCCAGTGTCTCATATACATGGAATCATGCAGTATGTAGTGTTTTTGTCAAGCTTTCTTCACTTAGCATAATTATTTTGAGATTTATCCATGCTACTGCATGGATCACTGGTTCATCCCTGCCCTTTGCTGAATAGCATCCTACATGTGGATATTCCACAACTTGGTAGGCCACACACATGCTAATGGACAATTGGCGTGTTTCCAGAGTAGGGACTAATACAGATAAAGCTGCACTAAAGTTTGTATACCAGTCTTCGTATGGACATCACTTTCTTTTCCTTGGGTGCATAGCCAGCCAGTAGTGGCAGGCCTGGGTCACATGGTAGGTGTGTTTTCATTTTTTGTGATATTGCCAAACTCTTGTCCAAAGTGGTTGTCCAGTTGTACCTTCCCTTGAGAAGCATGTATGAGTTCAGATTGCTCCACATCCTTGCTAGCTCTTGGTTATGGCTAGTCTTTCTAGTTTTAGCCATTCTAACAGTTATGTTCTGGTGTCTCACAGTGGTTTTCATTTACATTTCCCTAATATTTTTGTGTGCTTATTTGCTATCTTTATGTCATCTTCTATGAAGTGTCTTTTCAACTATTTCATTCTTAAAAGTTTGATTTTCTGATTGTTGAATTTTAAAAGTTCTTCAGATATTCTAGATACAGAGCCTCTATCAGATTTATGTTTTGCAAGTATTTCCTCCCAGTCTGTGGATTATCTTCATTTTCTTAACAATGTCTTTTGAAAAGCAATAGTTTTTAATTTTTTATAAAATCCAATTAATTGTTTTTTCCTTTTACGAATCCTGTTTTTAGAGTTGTATCTAAGAAATCCTTGCTGAAGCCAATGTCATAAATCTTTTGTCCTCTTCTTCTAGAGATCACTGTCCTTCATTGACCGATATGGAGTATATTGAAAAACACTTTTTATGCGTTGTTTTGTTATTGGGGTTTTTTTTTTAGGGCATTTTTGGTGTTTCCTTATGGGAGGGTAAATCCAATCCACCTTACTCCACCAGAGTAGAAGGCTGGAAGGAGAACATTCTTTGGGGGAATCACTAAAGTCATTTTAATTCTGAAACTCTTGTTTTAAATTATCAAAAATGTTTGTGCTTCAAAGTAGCCTAACAGAAGCATCTTGAATGCTCTATTTATATTTCTTTTTTTTTTCTATTTATATTTCTATTGTAGACAGAATATTGAAAAATGCATCGTAAGTCTAGAGGGACCTTTCTAACATCCGCACTTACTCAGACTCGAGACTGCCTACAGCTTTTTCATTAGAGTAAATTAGTGAATCAACATTTGTGGAATTTTCTTCCAGGGAACAAAGAACTCCACAATGGCTGGCTCTATCCTCAAGCCTAGTTTGGTCACCTTGTGGAAAAAGAGCATTTGTTCCTAAGGTTCACACAAATACGAACCCTATGAGTCAAATCAAAGTTCTGCTTAAATAGCATTCGTAGTATGCCACCCCTCGGGACACATGTCCATAGATCTCAGGACATGTGGATTTCTCCCACATGGTGCACACATGTGTTGGCAGAATGCTGCCAAGGTGTGTGAAAGGAACATTCTCTGAAAAAATAGATTGGCCAGTTAAGTATTTGAATCGGTCAGCAACTTTAATGAATCATAATCCCCCTGAACATCAATCTTTCCCCCAAAGAATGTTTCAAAGAAAGCAGCTGTGGTCAGGCTGCTAGGAATAGATGTATTTTTGAATTGTAAATGTTTGAGTATTATATGCAGAGCAGATAGAGTTCTTATTCTTCTAAAGAAAATTGATAATTTAATAGTCATTCTCTAGCTATTGCTAAGGCTGGCAACTAATTCTCCACATGTAAAAAGCACATTTCTAATGAAGTTATTGGTAACTTCTGTTCATTCATAGAGATCAAGGATTATGTTATGATCACTGTGTAGAACTGTTAGTAAATATTAAATGTTGATATTAAGAGTACTTTTTAGAGAAAAAAAAGTACTATTTTTCTATTAATTGGTTTCAAGGTCATACTATTATAATCATCTTTATTTCATATACTCTAGCAAGAAATGTGCCTCGTGCATAGCACTATTGACAAGGCTACCTAGGATACAAAATAAGTGTATGACACCAACCCAGTCCTCAATAGCTTGGATTCTAGATAGGTGGCTGGAGAACAACACACAGCAGAAGAGAATAGGGTGGCTGCTGGGGCAGTAGAACATTTGAGAGCACATGGGTCTCATTCTTTCTCGTGCCAACATGCCCCCACCATGTTCTGGACCAAAGGTGCAAGTGTGAATAAAATACCTGTCCTTAGGGGATCCTGCTTGTCTGTTGGAGGAAGATGTTCATCTCATTTAGCAGATGCTTTAATGTCTGAAGGGGCAAGGCAGTGTCTGGGGGAGAAGAAACCCAAAGCCTGGCCTCCAGAAGCTTGTAGTCTGCTCAGGGCCCCCCCCCCCCCCAC